GGGAGCGACCGGCGGCCGGTGTCATCTTCACCTGCTCCGGCCCCGGCGTGCGCTGCCGCGTCCCGTCTGCCCGCGTGTGCAGCGGCGCTCGCTCGCCTGCCGCTGCCGGGACGGCCCCGCGTGTGACGGCGCTTCTCTGCCCTCTGCCCAGCGAAGCCCCCGGCACGTGGCTCGGGCAGCACCAGAAATTGGTGGGAAAAACACGAAACAGCTTTGGCCCAGTTACAGAGGCCATGTAGGGCGAACTGTTGTGCCGAACTTTCCATAATTTGAGGAAACATGGCTGTGTGACGGTTGTTTGAAAAACACTTACTCTGGATGGAAAGTAGCACGGTTTTAAATAAATGCTGTGGCCCACGTGTGAAGTCAGGCATAGTTTGGTGGAGCCCGGTCTTACGACGTGCCTAGTCTGTGTTTAGCACCCTCAGTAATTCTGATCTGTGTTGTGCACAAACTGGTTTGGCAGACCCTAACTTGAGACAGAAAAGCTTGGAATAATCAGGTCTTAACACTGATCAAGTCAATGGAGTTAGTTAGTCAATATATAATGGCAAATATTTTATGTCTTACCTTGGTCTGGATTCATACTTAAAATATGTTTGATGTTTCATTTTTCAAACAAGAAATGTTAGATCAGTTCAGGGCATTGTCAAGGTAAAGATTTCTGAGTTAATCTATCAGTTTTAATGCTGCAAGAGTGGCATCACCTCTGTCAGGTTCTTCATGCTACCTTCTCCCATCTGCTTCAGTGCCAGCTCTTGACATTTATGCAGCTCTCCAATGAGCCAGTACAGCTCCTGAAACCCTGAAAACTTACATCAGGGAAAATGGTTAATGTTTGTAACTCCTGGTGGTTGGTGAGCTGAAAAGGCTCACCAGCTGCACAGAAAAGTACTGGACTTTATGCAAGGGACAGCGTTAAAGTGGGAGTGATTAGTGCACTCTTAGATCAACAGATAGTGAACTATCTATTCACTTTCTCAGGAAGGAGATGGACTTTAATTTTCCTTTACTGATATACTATGAAAAAATGAAGGGTGTAGTTTCTCAGTTCACTAAGTCTGTTGCATGAGTAGCGAGCCAAATGCAATAGCCCTACCACTTGTTGGGTAACAGAGGCACTGCTTTTAAAATTTAAAACATGGGTTATGTATCACCATTACTTTAACATAGCATAAATCAGTACTGCCATCCAAAAGCCAGCCCTGAAATGTTGTGAATTGTAATCCTAAAGTGGTAGTGTGTGACACTGGAGTGGGCAAATCAACAGCTCACTGATACTGCGAGGCACTTATCCAGCAGGATCTAATGTCTGGGAGTAGAATACTAGGAATGGAGAGTGGGAAGCTTGATTCTAAGAAGAAAAAGTCATTGTAATTTCACTTGTCTGATATATATTAGAGCAGAATTTGAGTCTCAAGTTATAACTGATGCTATCAGCTAATCAGTGAATTATCACGAGGTGTGGATTGAATTCAAAATTTTCTGAAATAATTTAATCAAGAAACAAATTGAAGAAGAGTTCTGCACTGTAAATGCATTTAAATTTAGCTGCTCATTTTGCATTCATGTTTTACTGAGTGCTACCTTTTTAAGATTCATATTGACAACACATTTCATACGAAACCAGTAATTTAAGTAATGACTTGGACCTACGTTAGCATTCATAACTAACTCAGGATACTGAATCTTAGCAGCAAAGGTGCTAATCAGTAACCATTTTTCTTGTTACCAGTTTTTGTGAACAACTGCTTCGAGATTAATTTAACCAGCCTGAAGGATTGTTCTCCACAAGGAGGGCACATTCATAGATCTCAGAAAGAGCCCTGGAATCAGAAGGAAGTCTGAGAACAGAGGGCACAGGGGAACTGAGAGCTCTTTCCCAATCACAGTGTATCTCTCCGCTCCAGGAGACTTTCATTTGACCTCCTGTTCAGGATACTTTCAGGTCTCAGCCTCAACTCAGGGATTACCAGGTGTCTTAACTAGGTAAGCTCTCAGGAACTATGTCACCATGCACATAAAGATGTGCCCAGACCACACCGGTTGGGTTGGTACAGGACAGCAGGTCTAGCAGTGTGCTTCACCTGCTGGTTTGGAAACTGCAGTGGGAGAAAAGCAACAGTTTCTTGTGAACTGAGGTGTGTGTAAAACTTCAAACCTTCAACATTTTCAACAATCACAGCAGTAACATAGTGACACTTGCAACACACGAGAATTTTCCTCCATTTTTTTATTCCAAATAAACCTGTTAAAATTAGATATGTGGCTACCTATAAAGGTATTTTCATAGTTTTAAAGCTTATAATGTTATTTTTCAGGTTAAAATGTTTAGTAAGAAAAGTTAGGAAACTTGGTCACAACACAAGGTGTTTTGAAAGCAGAATTTTATACTTAAATATCTAACTTCATATTATATGAAGGCAATAAACTGCAGGAGTTACTTAAAAGCAAGGCAGACCAGTTGCTGAAGACAAGCATTTGGATTATGACATAAATTACAAAGAAGTAGTTATTTCTGTAGCACCAGTAACTAAAGTATGATGACTGGCTATGTGGCCAAGGAGAAACTTGTGGATATTGTGTATTTTGACTTTACCAAGGACTTTGATATAGTCTCCCACAGTACCTTTATAGCCAAATTGGTCAGCTTGGAAAACAGATTGGAAAACTGGGTAATAAGACTGATGGAAAATTGGCTGGGCCATCAGGCTTGAAGTGTGGTGGTCAGCAGTAGGACTGCTTGACTCAGGGATCAATATCTGAGCCAATACCCTTAATTCCTCCTTAACAGCCTGGAAGACTGATGTGGTTTGGAAAAAACCTTTCCCCCTGGGGCTGGTGATGGTCTGCTCCAGAGGTGGTGTTTTTGATACTGGGCCCATTAAAAACTTAGTGTGCCCTGTGGAAATTACATACTCACAGAATCAGAAGAGGTTAATTTTAACTGCGTAGCTGGAAAAGAGGCAGCCATGAGTTGAGAGGCCACATATTAAATGGCAGGCGGGGGGTTGGGGGGGGGGTTCCCCCAGTCCTGACCGTTGGGGCCGGGGGCTTCTTTCCTTTCCCGGCCCTAACTCAGTGGGACCTGGCACGGCTTTGTAGCTGGGCCAGGATGCTGAGTTAACACTGTGCCCCCCCCCACACACACACTGTCAGGGGGACAAAAACAGCAGCGTGGTGCCTGATCGGCCAGCCAGAGGGCTGCAGTCGGTGGGCAGACACGGCGCTGGAGCAGAGCCAGCACAAGTCGAGGGGTGCAGGAGTGGGCCAGGCTGATTAGCCATGATCCTTGGAGAGGCAGCTGCAGCACACAGCCATGGAGTGGCCCGGGACAAGTCAAAGCGGCAGCTAGAACCCTGAGGCAGAGGCAGCCACTGAGCAGACCTCTGCAGAGGAGTAGCCCGAGCTCCCATAGCAGCTCGAAGCAGAAAGGCCCCTGCGAAGGGGCAGCAGGAACAGAACAAAACGGAGAGAGAGGTCTGCTGGAACGTTTTCGGGGTAAGAACTGAACCGAAAAAAAAACCAAAAAAAAACATTCTGACGCAGGGAGCTTGATCCCCGGGGATAGGGACCCCCCACGGAATGGAGGATAAAGACTTTAAGCTTTAACTCCCTACAACTCCATGGTGTCAACCATGGTGAGCGAGTAGGGGTGAAAGAGAGACCCCCTGCATTCTCATGAAGAGAAAGAGAGATTTTCCAGCTATAACAAATCAAAACTACTGCCTTAAAGATAAGAGACACTTCCTAGTGCTGCAGAAATTAATTTGGAAGAGCTGTGGCCTGAAAGTGAAAAGAAGACTTCTTTCTTTCTGGACTTTTTTTTGAAGGAAAGGAGAGACGGCCTATGTATATATATATTGTTTCACCATAGAAGAGATAGTTAAAATTGTTACATATATGTATTAGAGTATTTATTAAGTAATAAATTGTAATATAATTCCCTTCCCCCATACTGAGTTGTGCCTGTCTGAAAACTTCTCTACACACATTAGAACAAATTGCAGAAAAACTTTTGAAATTAGTTTTTTGAAATTTTTTTTTCCAAACCACCACAGCTGAGCACCTTCTTAGCAAGTTTGCTGCTGATGATGAAGTGAGAGGAGTAGTTAGTATACAGGGAGGCAGGGCTACCATTCACAGCAGGGTGTACAGCCTGGAAAAACAGGTTGCTGAAAAAAACCTAAGCAAATTCAACAAAAAACAAATGTGAAGCCTGATATCTGGGATGGGAAAAACCCATGGATCAGTACAGGCTGGAGGCAGTAACCAGAATGCAGCTTCATAGGAAAAGACACAGGGGTCTCTGGTGAACAAGCTGCCATGAGCCAGCAAGACCTTGCAGCAAACAAGGCCAAGCCTGGGCTGCCTCAGCAAGGGCTTGGCCAAGAGCCTGGGGAGATGGTTCTTCCACTCTGTTCAGCACTTACGGGACCACATGCTGGAGTGCTTAGCTTTCAACTCCCAAGAGCTGCCTTAGGTCAGGGACTGGCACACGTGGCCTATGTTCAGTCTGGAGAAGAGATGGCATAAGGACATCTTAGTGCTGTAAACAGCTATGTAAGAGGAAAGTGTAAAGAAGACTGAGAAGTCAGACTTTCCTCCAGTGTGCATTATGGAAGGATATGTGGCAATGCACCAAAACGCATATGAAAATCTTTGGCTTGGTATAAGGGAGAAATATTTACCTTTACCACAGTCAAGCTGGGCAAAGGTTGCCCAGAGGGGCCATAAAGTCTTCACTGTTGGAGATAACCAAAATGTGAGCAGAATTGGCAGAATACTGTGCTCCAGCTGGACCTGTTTTGCAAAGGAAGGTGGATTACAGACCTCTGGAGTCCCTTCCAACACCATTCTGTGGTAAGCTGGTCAGCATGTTTTAGTAGAAGGTACTTTTACCAATTCTTTTTAAAGGATTACAGATTCAGTCAAGGAACATTAAGAAATAAGCTGTTGTAAGTTGGTTTTAAACCAGCATTAAACAGACCAACCCACTCTTGGAATCCAGGGTAATCTATTCAAATACAAGGGTTTAGACTTGAGGTAAAAACAGTGGTTTATACCTACAGAATGCTGAAAATGCCACAGACAGCAGTAGCTTAGAATGACTTGGAGATCATTAAAAGTAATCTTCCCAAGACCAGATTCGAGATCAATATTAGAGCAGAAAAGACTTTGAATAAATTTGGAAATAGGAATGCATTAGGAATAGGGTAGTAGTTCATGCAGTACACAGTAAGGAGTCTTATAAGACTTCTAGGACTGCCATACATCAAAAGATGTTCAGTGTCCAAATAAACAAAATCGAGCTGTGAATAGAAAGCAAACCTAAGATATGAGCTTTAGGGAGCTTAGTGTATAAAAGGGAGAGCTGAGATAAGGCCGTAAGTGTGAGAAGACTGTTGCATACGGTAGAGGAAGTGGGGAGAAGCCTATGGATTTGCTACCCTGGGCCAAACTAGTGACAGCTGAAGCAAAGTAAGTTTGGTAGCATCATAGTCAGCTGTGAGAATTAACTAAACTTTGGAACAATGTAAAAGGGAAGATCATGGATGTATCACTTTACAAACTGTAAAATGGGGTAGGCATCATTAAAGGAAGTCTCAAAGTAGATAAATACTATTTTGAAAGACTGGGTACACACGAACAGAACAACAGCAAGTTGAGCAGAACAACAATGCTTGCCTGATACCGATGGCATTTAAATCTTTTTTTACTCTTGGTCTCTTCAAGACCTTGACCTTAACTGTTGTTTTAAAAGAGCATGAGCTACACACAAAACCAAAGTGGGAGAAGGAAAACCCAAATAATACATCCCTATTGTAAATGCAGTTCATAGCAACAAAAATGCTTTTGCTAGTGTGAAGTTTTAGTAGCCTATAACTGGTTACATGTGCTGGCAAGTGGCAGACTACAGTAACAGAAATTGTTGCAGTGTACTTTAGATGGACTTTTTTAGTTTGAAATATTTTAATTGATGAGCTTGTTTATATTGCAGACATACCTCAATACTGTTATTTTATTACTTCAAAAGTCCTAGTTTTTCCACTCACTAATCCTTACAGAAGCTTCCTGTCATAAAAAGGTCAAGAACAGATTACCCAATTTTAATTTCATCTTTATTTCCATAAATCAAAGTTAGACTTCAAGTGGTTAGATCCTTGTGTTTCACATTTCTCACCCTACAGCAGCTACCACAAAATGTGCACCTATTACCATTTTAATAGACATTAGTTGTTACTGTGTTTTTTTTAATCTGATACAAATATCACTTGCTAACAACCATTTAGTTATTTTCTCCATTTACATGAAATGGAGATAAGCTGTAAATTGATGGCATTCTGTTTGTTGCAGGTACAGCCAATATTAGAATATGCAGCAGCTTTAAAACTCAATAGTGAACTGTTAAAATAAGTAGTGGTGCCAAAGCATCTCAAGGATTTGACATACCCAGTTATTTTACACTGGGCTACAAAGAGGATTGCAAATCTACACAGTTGCATCTATTCTACACACCTCTCTCCATTAAAAGGGCTTGCCTTTGTACCCTTTTTAAAGACTTCATACCCTTGTGCAACTATGAATTTAATGGAATAAAGATGATGACTGTTAGAACTATTTGTTCAAATATATACTGTCTTCCATTAGGAGGCCATGATATATAATCTGAATCCTTCTGGATTGCCTGCAAAGTACAGAATGCACAGAAGTTCCTAGTGCATTCTACAGAATATTTTCAGAGAAAAATAATTTATGCAAAAACATACTTCTCCTCTCTACATAAAAATCTGAATTTCAAAGAATCTTTGTATATTCCTTATGGAGTCAAGTGGAAAATGCATTTTTCTAGAGCTGTAAATACTATCTTTTAAAAGAAATGCTTGGTATCTTTGGTTTACTTATATGCTGGATGAAAAAAAAAAAGTTTAAAAGGGAATAACTGCCTAGTTACCTGAGGTTCACCTTTCATTTCTCCTAACATGAACTTTGGATAAGATTAGCTGTTTGGTAGCTGAAAAGATAAATTCTCTATAAAACAATGAAACCCAATGCTTATTTTAGTAATGCATATTAAATAAGACAAGGCTAGGTTAGTAAAACTAACTCAAGGATCATTATAAACCCAAAACTAATAATTCTACTTGTTCCAGAATTAGTAATCCTACTTTTTCAGTATCACCACCTTCTTTATAAAGTGTTACAAAAATATTCACAATAGTATTACTATATTAATCTATTATTCCATATATTATTTTGAAAAAGTGCTTACAGAGGCAAGTATATGAACTGCAAACTCATAATCTTCCAGCTGCCTAAAGCCCTGATCCAGTTGTTTAAAATTCTTGTTCAATACAGAACAAGGAGTTGACAACTTTCATTGTTTTCTATGAATGCTCTCCCTATTTTTACATTTTCATGTCAAATTAATTAACAGTTGCTTGGAAAGTACAGTGTGATTTATGTTCAATTGCAGATGAGCAATGCAGTTACTTGTAAATAGGAAGTTTCATCTCTAATGTAAGGTTTTGAGAAATATTTAATTGCTTTCATTTTTTACCCTTCTTCTCATTATCCAATACTTTATATTCATCTAGCACAGCATGGCCAGTTTCCTTTGCAGTTCTCTTTACAACAGCTTTGATACCAATATTGTCAATGTTAAATGCTGTCACACCAACATTGATTGCAGAATTCATAGCATTGTCTGTAGCATGGCCAGCATCCTCTCCATACCTAAAGAAAGAGAGCAGTTTTGTAGATTTGTATACTTAGTTTTTTAATCTTCACTGGAATTCTTTTGAAAGTTTAGGCATTACCAAGAACAAATAATAAGCACAGAGCTTGAATGTCTTAAGAATAAAATTAGAAATTATAAAGCCATTTGAGTAAAGGCTGCTCCTCTATCAGATGGATTACCCTTTAAAAATACCAATGTGCTTCTGCCCTTTTTCCTCAAAAAACCTTCCAGTTTTCCTCTCTCTTTTCTCTCTAGTGTTGAAGAGTAGAAGACATCTATGGAACCATAAGAAGGGGAAGGGGAGAGAAGTGCAATAACCTCCAAGTCCTTACATAATATTCCTATACCCTCTATATAGAAAGCCAACCGTATCCTGGGCTGCATCAAAAGCAATGTGGCCAGCAAGTTGAGGGCTGTGATTCTGCTCCTCTACTCTGCTCTGGTGAGACCCCACCCGGAGTACTGCATCATATAAAACCCCAAAAGGCTCGACACAGCTATCTTGAGGCTATGATGAAAATTATGAAGAGATAAAAACCTTTGGTGTCTCCCATGGGGTGTGGGTCCAGCTTCTTTATGCTTTAGGGCGAAGTCATTAGTGTCATATTAACTACTTAATATACTCAACTGTACAGAGAGTTGAGCACTGAAGGAGGACAAGAATACAGTGAGGGCAGTAACTCCAACTGTTCTGGGCAGCCAGACATTTCCCCAGAGAGCACTGCAGTCAGACAAACCAGGCCAAAGGGAAGTATTCCTGGCAGCATCAGAATTCCAGCAGTCGCCAGAGTTACTTTTCCCCTATGTTTTTTATGACCAGAGATTCTTTGAGGACCTCAAAATAAAGCCAGAGAGAAGCACAGAATATCAAAGAATCCAAAAATCTATAATGTTATCAGTTCAGCAGCCAGAGCATATGGCTGGAACCAAGAATGAAACCGAATAAAAAGAATTAGTGTGTTTTTTTGTTTTGCTTTTAATTCTCTGACAGAGCAACAGCCTTGAATCACCAACACTGGATCTGCAGATCACAGAATTAATCTCACAGCAAAGTGCAGTATTTGTCAATTTAATTAATTATTTTCACCTCAGGAGCATCATAATCCAGTATATAATATCAGTAAAACAGGTAACCTCATTTAAAGCAAGACTCTAGTTTATCCAGTACAGTAAAACTAACAACTTCTTAATGTCTGATAACTAATTTTTTAGTTTGCCAGTCTCAATTGCATAATTAACTTTTTTTTTTCAAGAAAAAAGTTGTGCACAGCTATATACTGCATTTATTTAAATTGTTTGTAAAAAAGACAGTAGCATGGGACTTGAAGTATTACTTCTGAAGCTATGTTTTCCCCCAATTCTGATCAACATGCAAATGATGACCATCTCTATATAATTCCAAAGGTATTGTAGCTAAGTTTTAGCCAAGTTTTTTTTGATTTAGAGGCACTGTGATGGTGCTCCTTTTATGTTGTTTCCATTAAGGGGAATTTGGCTCATTCACTGGTATTTTTAATGGCAGAAATCTTTGTCAGTGACAAAAAACAGCTTCCAAAAGAGAGATTATGTAGAATTTTAATACAATTATAAAGATAGGTTTTAAAGATTAAATATCATTTTCCATTGTATTGCAATTAGCTGCAACATTTAATTACTTATTGTTTTTCACTGAGTATCTGTTGTCTGCTCATCTCCATATTTTCTGGTTTTATATCTAAAACAAAAACATTAATTTGAATTTATGTAAAATGAGTACCAGTACAATACCTCCTGACATTCCTACCTACTGAAAACAAACATTGGCAGTAAAGCACCACTGACTAGAACTTCACTGTCTGGCCTCCTATTTGAAATGCATCACAACACAACCCTGAACACCAATCTGTTTAATACTGTATGCTGATATTTATCTTGTTACCTTCTGCTAGGAGCCTGTATGCACCTTCAGCCAGCCCTTTTTAATATCTCTTTTGCTATGATTACCACCTGTTCAATTTAACCTACATGCTTTGGCTTACTCTTCACTTTCTATTAAACCTACTGCACTTTTTTTGAGGGGTGCATTTCCTATCTTTCACAATTATTTCAATTCCCTTTTTCTCCATAGCATCTTCCAGTATGTGCACTCAGCTTTCATCTTTCCATCATCTTAGAAACATCATCTTAATCCCAAATGTCACTTTCCTCTTCCCCCACTATCTTTTTCTAAGAACATCTGTATTTTGCAAGTCGAGGCTGTTCTATTATTGCTATTTATGCCTTAGATTTCCTTACACAGTTTTCTTTTCTTGTACCTCCTCACTATAGCCAGACCTGCTGATAGATGAAGTTCTTCCATCTTTCTTAACTTTAGCTAAGTTTGCAAAAATTCAGAATTAGAGCCAAGAGGTTTAATCTAGTAACTTTTTTCATAATGACATTATACTGTAGAGCGAAGATAAAAATCTGAACATTATTTGTGACAGCCTGAAGCTGTAATACTTCTACGAGAGAGCTAAAAAAATACTTCACACAGTCATTCACTCATTTCATATTTTTGCTTACAAGAGATGCTCATTAGTGTGCACTTAGCACCTTATCATGTGCTACATAATTATAGCAAAGCAGGTATTTCAGATAGTTTCCCTGCACTTTCATAAGCTCTTTTTTTGCCATTATTCAAACAGAATGACAATGTACCATAGAAGATAAAATCAATAAAAATATAACTTACTTGTATTTGACAGTTTTTACAGTCTCAGTTGAAACACTTTTAGCAATGCACTTCGCTGCACTTTCTAAACCTTGCCACACTGTTGAAAACCCTGTAAAAATGATCAGCTTGAGTTCACAACTTGAAAATGATGCAATTTTAAAAAGTATAAAGAATTTTTATTACCTTGAACTCCACTTGCTGCTACAACCAGAGCACCATCAAAAGTGGATTTGCCATCTTTATCTTTCTTAAGGGATTCTGGAACTAATTTGCTGCCATGCTTCTTCACATGTGGAGCCAGCTCCCTTCCGACACAGCTCGCTATAGAACATACTCCTTCAGCTGCCATGAAACAATGGCATGCAGATTATTTAGTAAGAACACAGAACATCTTTCCTTAAAAATCTTTACTCCTAATTAGAAGAAAGCTTCACTGAAGTTTTAAGTGTTGCTTCTATTTAAATATGCTTATTTGAAAGACAGACTTTAATCCACACAAGTACCCAACTGATACAGAGCAACCTTATTTTTCAGATTCTGCACAGCTTCAGATATTAAGAAACAAGTAAGGTTGGTCTTATGGCTAAAAAGTGCTTTAAAAGAAATACATACACATCTCACACTTCAAATTTCAAGAAACTGATTCCATTGCCTTGTTATCCCCAACTTGCAGATAGGGAACAAGCTGCTGCTTTCCTGACTTGTCTTCTGTAGAAGACTTTCTTACAATCATTCCAGCTCTTCAAAGTAGTTTTATAACAACGAGCACAATTTTCTTTAAAACTTGGTTGAGTCACTAGACTGTACATATGAACATTATATGCAATTAAATAATGAAATGAAGTTACTGAGAGCTGTTAGGGTTGCCAAGCACCTGTGAACACCAGGCCATTTCTATTTGGAAATTTATATGTAGTCAAACAGATTTATTTCAAGTGTGTGAGTTTAAAAATATATACAGTGACAAGAGAGCTTTTAAAATACATGGTTATCAACTTAAGAAAAGAAAGAGACAATGTTCAAATTAACTGTCTAAAAAGATATCTGGAGGCCAAGTAATAAATACTAATCCTGAAGCATGTCTGTTGCAGGAGGTAACTAGGCACAAACTACTGTTCTCTGGATTTCATCAGGTCAGTTCCTCCACCTGTTAACTGGCTAGAGAAACCAGCTCTCATTTTATGAGGTATTTATTATTTAAGGCAAAAAAATATATATATTATTAGATGGAAATTTTTACCTAAGAATTGGCTGACTTTCACAGCTCCTCCAGTAGCCTGTTTTGCTACATGAAGTCCCTTTGCTACAGTTGGATTGACTTCCACAGGTTTTTCTTCTGGTTGAAGGTGTTCTCGCAGCTTAGAAGCTCCTTTGTGAATAGCTTTACCAGTATATTCTGCTCCTTTCATTAGGCCCCAGCTTACCCAAGATGCACCTAAAAGGCAAAAATTGCTTTTCTCAGGATGTACAATTTTACAGATTATGATTCCTACAGCTATCCCTCCTCTACCTCTGCAACACTGACTTTAGAAACAGTCCTGATTACATAGTCTGCATTTATACTCTTCCCTGAATGGTCCAGCATGAATTCCTACATTCATTTCTGCTCCTAAACCACCGCTTTTGAAATTAATTTTATTTAAGTTTAATACAGTCAGCCTTCATCCAAATGTCAGCTTAATACAAATAATAATTTTCTTAACATATATCCAAGCCCCAGCTAGGTGAGAAGTGATAGAATGGCACATCTCAATGCTATTAACACTCATGAAAACATGCAACCAAACCCTCTAGTCCTCCTTGCAGATTCATATTTATTACAGTCAGCTAGTGGTCATTAGTATATTCCAAAGGCACTCAGAGGAAAAAAACCCACATGTTTATCTGCAGAAATCACAACAGGTGCCTGCTGTAATATAACTGCTCATACAGGGGTAAAATTGTTCTGTCACAATGGTCTGAGTCACAGGGGGTGATATCCTAACAGTGTCACATGAGGAGCCAGATTGATTTGCAATGAACAAGACTGTTGGCAATGGATATATATTCTGCACTGTTTTTATAAAGCTCATCAAGGCATCCTTTAGATGACCACAACTGGAACTAGTGAACAACTACTTCTGACCACTCAGCTTCTACCAACACACAGAGGTTTATATTCAACACAGTGCTCTTATTACAACAGTACCTGACAAGATACCATGGGCAACCTTTTCACTCCATTCTGGTAACTCTTTCTGATTTTCTGCTCCTTCGGGTTGTGGTTGGATATGTACAGTCTGAGGCAAGTTAACTGCATCACTAGAGGCTTCTGAAGGCTGACAAGTGAAAGCAAAACATCTGAGAATCTACTTCGCAGCTTATCATCAGGATCATACAACATCCATTATCAAATAATATTAATGTTGTGCATGCCTTGGGGAAGTGTGGAGAAACTCAAGGGAAATTTAAGACGCAATTACTTTTGCACCAAAATGCTACACATCCAGAAAAGCTTATCAGATAGGTCAGCATTTTAACTACACTTTCTTCATCCAGCTACAATGAAAATATTTGCTTGCCAATATAGACATATGGTCAAGGAGCTGAGTAGGGAAAATTTACAGTACAAGTTCACTAGCAAAACAGATAAGAGACTTGCCCATCTATCATTTTTATCTTAGAGAGAAATCCACTTTGTTGTTATTCAGCATAAGAATTGCAGTCTTTGGTCAGCGAATCCAGCTGCACTAAGGGAATGCAGCTGTCCTGATTGTTTTTTTTCCTCATCCTTTCCTCCCAAATTAAAAAATAAAGGACATGATTCATGCTGTGTGCTGTTTATGCTTTTGCAGACTGGCACAGCCAAGGCTCACACAATGCTGTGCATGATACTGCTCCCTATTTAAAGCTGGGTGGACAGGTTCTGTGTGATTTCGTGTCAAACATTACAGTTTATGGAGTAGATGTTAATCATTCAAACACAGCAACCACCAACACAGGCCATTTAGTGTTTCTAAAAAGTGTAACATCACTTTACACATATCACAGACAATGTACAATGAAACTTTAATTACAGAAAGCAAAAAAAATTGTAATAGATCTAGGTTTTTGTTAAGATTCGATTTTTAGAACTTTTCCAGTGTAAAAGTAAATGAAAACCCAAACCATTTCAAAGATTGAAAATACCGCTAGTTAATGACAGATAGAAAGAAAAGAAGTTTTTGTTTAGATTAAACCCATTGGCAGAACAGAATACACAATATAGAATATTTGCTATTACATGGAATTCCCCTGAAACATTTACTGGACATAAAGGCAGGCTATTGCCCATAGTTGACTGCTGAAGTAAAACAAAACCAAACCAACATTAACAGAAAAGAGTACATTAAAACTTAGAAGGTTGCTACCCAGAAGGTTAACACTGTATCACTGACATATCACAATTACTGCTTGACAGCAGTGTGAAATGTTGTGTTCAAGAAACATTTTCAGCATGTGACCAAATTACCTCAATAAACAGCTATAGGTAAAAACCAACCAAACAAATAAACAATTAAAAGACCCAGACTATGTTCCAGATGTTATTTAGTTACACCACAGTTTGGGTCACTATGTAGAAAAACTGTCAACAAGACTTCTGAGGACTATACTAAGGAACAGAAATGGATTCTCTAATAAGACAGGTGACTCACTACTATAATTCTATTAAATATAGTTGTCAACTAGATCCTCATGAATACCATGTAAAACAGACACATTAAATGGCTATCAGACTAGGCTTTGAAATATTTGTGCTATATCAGAGTTTTCAAAACTCCTGAAATATGCTGACTTGAAAAATGTGGTAGCCTGCAGTAACTGCAATTGCTCTTAACAAAAAACAACCAACCAAAGCAAAAAAACCAAAAAGCCAAAACGACCCAACAAAAAAACAGCCACAGGACACAGTATACATTGCTGCTGTCAGTCAAATCAGCTTTCTAACATGCATTCCAGTGACTATTTTATTTTGTTTACTATAAATTTTGGAATGACTGTCCTGGCGTTTACCTGGACTTTGTGGCCAGACATCTGTTTAAATTTATCTTCAAAATGCGCTCTCTCAGTTGCTGGGAGCTCTGAAGATAACCCTAATCTCTCATGGGATCCTGGCACCTGTGACATCGTATCAGGGAACATTAACAAAAACACGAAGTTTTAGAACAATAAGGAGCTAATGAGATATCAAATTTGAACCCCTACTACGCAGGAAAAATGAAAGCATTTTATCCATTGAGTCCTGCACTGAAATAGCCAATAATTCTGCAGTACTTTCCCCTTTTAAGTAAAAATTAGTGGCCACCTGTGCTGGTGAAATTCCCTGCTGAACTCGACAGGATTTATACCATACCAGAACTCCACCCTCATGGCATGCTCCAAACTGGTCCATCATCACTGCATTCAACTCTTGGCTGATTCAACAAAATTCTCTCTTTCATGAAAACACATAATCTTGCTATGAGCTCTTAAGTAGTTATGGATTACCACTCTTCCTGAAATGGTGCTTCACTGCTCTTACAGTAACATTTTGCACCTTGTTTCCAGTCACTGTATGTTATCGCACCTTTGTTAGATTATGGGGGGTTTTTTTCCTGTTTTCTCTACCTGTCAATATCTTACTGCAATAAGGCACCAGATTTATCTGAGATCCTATTTGAGGCAGATTTTTGAAGTACACACTATTTTCACAGATCTTCTCTGAGGCAGCTCACCATTTTTGAACTGTAAACACATTTAGGCACCATACTCCAAGAATGGTATCATCCATCATAATTTGTGTGCGTGTGTGTGTGTGCACACAGGGAAAAACATGCTTTCTCCTGAACCCCAACTTTTATTTTGGGTTCTATGTTCTCTTTTGGAAAAATAGAGAAAATAAACAAAATGGTCTCCAACTACGGTCTGTGCTTACAAATCAGTATTATAAAAATTCTGTACTCCCATGTCACAGGATCTACGGCTTCATTACACAGCTGCTTAATCTTGGCCTACTTTATCTATTTCTCACTGGTCAGCTTACCAAGCAAGACACAAAAATCTGCAGTTCTACACAACTAAATGTAAATGTGAGAATATATTGATGACTTATACCTTTCCTTATTGGTATAAACAGGCACCTCAGAAATTTACCTGGATTCGAAGGTCAGACATCTGTTTTAAGAGATCCTCAAACAGCTCTCTGTCAGCTGCTGGAAGTTCTGAAGACAGCACTACTCCTACATAGGACCCTGGTATCTGGGACATTGTGTCAGGGAACATGTAGACTCCAGTACTGCAGCACAGAACAGGAGACTGGTTACACATTAGAGGATACAACCAGTCACAAACCTAGAAAAGACAAGTACATGAAGGAATTAAAAGATGCTTTTAAAAAGAAAGACAGACAGAGCATACTGATAAGCACCACAAACTTAATTTTCCATAAAGTTTCTAGTGAAAGGTTCCCTGCTGACGGCAGGGGTGTTGGAATGAGATGATCTTTAAGGTTCATTCCAACCCAAACTATTTTATGATTCTATGATGAAAAATAAAAAGCCTTATGCCATCTTTTAAAAACAAAAAAAAGGAAAACAATCTCAAAAAACTACAACCCACATGACTCTGGAAATACAACTCTTCATTAGTTCTGACAGTCTAATATAGAGAAAATATTAATTTTCACAGGACTGTAATTCAGGCTGGTACCCTCTTAACTGAGATCTAGTCTTGAGGTATAGAAGGTATAGAAGTCAATGAAAAGAACTGCCAAAAAAGTCAGGATTCACAGTGCCTGTACCATCCTGTAGAACTCAGGGCAGGTTTATATGATAGGATAAATAAAATGTATGGCTGTCACTGGCCTACTGCTGAAGACTGCTAACACAGGTGGAGCTGAACCAGCAGACTCAAAACCAGGAAGTAGTTTTTCTGTATGAGATTTCCAAGAGCCAATCTTAGCAAACACAAGGAGATCCAAAGTCAGAATCCACAACGTTCATTACAGAACATGCCCACATGAAGCAAGCAAGGACTGAAAAAATACAGATAATGCATCTTTTTTATTTGTAGTTCAGAATCTGTACAAAATGGGCCCTCAAATTCCAAATTATCAGTCGCCCTAACTTCAATACCTTATCACTAAATGAGAATGAAGTGAGTAGTTTGCAAGCCCATTTGACACTGACATGTTACAGTATGTGAATCAATATGTCTTCTCTATGTGAAGGAAGAGAAGTTAATTTTATGAAATGAAAAGATGCGTTCAGTCAACCCCTTTAGAAAGTGGGATTCACCAGAACAGTCGGCACTTGACAACCTTGGGAAGACACAGAGGTACTTTTCACAGAAAAAGTCATAAAAGTGTATACTTGCACAAAACCATTTCTGCAACATCTAAACATTCTTCATATTATCAGAAAGATATTTAGGCTTTGAAGAGCAAGAACTGAGGAAGATTTCCTGTTAAGAGTTTTATGACAATTCTTGAAATTTTAATTAAAGGCGAAAGTTATTTTCCTGTTACCTGAAGAAATGCAGGTGGACGATTCTGAGCTGCTTCACTATCTGTATCCAAGAACTTCACAATGCGTAGATATCCAGGATATGAAGGAGCACTAACCTGCCCATCAGGAGTCACAAAAAATATCTGTACTCCGTGGGGAATCAAGATCAGCTCGTCTGCATCCACTCCCAGGTTTTCCAGGGGAGGTGGCTGAGTACATTTGTTGTAATAGTCCTCACCTACAGAAGAAAACTCTCCAGAGTCTGTGCCATAAGACACAGTAAAATGGCCATTGGTAGCTTGAGGAGTATAGGCAGGAGGTGCTTCATTTGGCAGACAGAGAGGTTTTCCAGAGGATGGACTCATAGCTGGAATTTGACCCTGGCTCACAGCTGCAACACCTCCATCTGCTGCAGATGGTTGACTTGGTGCAAACAGAGAATTAGGGGCAGGTGGTCTTTCTGGCTTTTCTTTGGAAGGAATGGATGGATATAACTTGGGCACCCCAGGAGTGGCATCCATCGTAGCAGGACTTGCTTGTACAGGTGGGGTGTTTTGCTCTAGACTGCTGAGTCGAGCATGAACATTTTGCAGGGTCTCCCTCATCTTCTGCTGCATTTGCCTGGCAGACTCCCACTGGGACCCTACACACGCAGGACCCTCTGATGGAATGCTAACTCCTCGGAGCAAGTGGTCAAGCCCTTTCTTATAGTAACTTCTTGCCTCTTCCTTCTGGCCCAGTTCATCTGTATTCAGTCCTTTATTGATAAAAATAAAGGCTTTCCTGTACTCTTCATTAATAGCTTTAATATTTGCATCTTCTTGCATAACTGGATCCTGCAGTTGTTCCATTACTGCAAAATGAAATAAAAATCAATAAAAATATTCATCAATAAAGCCAAACGATGTTTACCTTAGAATAAAATGTCTTCTTAATGATAACCATACTGCATGTATTAGCAGAAATCTATTTGCTTGGGACAGCATCTGATATATTATGGTTATCTCCTAATAACATTCACATTGACATGATTCCAAGACAGCAAGGAATCTACAACCATCAAATCTAGTTACATCAAAGACGTTTATTTCTTAAAAGTTAAACATCAGAAGAACATGGACATGCCTGATATTAAAACTTTCATCTTAAAGATCAGTAGCAAACAGAGGAGTAAACAAATAACTTAAAAAATTTAACTTTTCCAAAAACATCTCTAAGGTATTAAAAAATTTAGTTAACATTTTGTCTATTTAAATAAAGGCTGAACTAACAAACAGTACATTTCTATTTGAATAATTTAAGAGAAAGCACTCAACATATTTAAACAAATCTTGATCAGCTTCAGCTAACATCAATACACAGAACTGGGAAATAGTATGAACAGGTAAAGCTGTGCTTTACAGAATGAAAACAGGGAATTACTTATTTCCTTTACGGTGTTTATAGAGTAAGAAAAGACAATTTGTTTTACACTCCTTGCTCCACAGGTGAAAAATAATTGAAAGTACCAAAATGTACAAAAGGTTTCAGGTTTTAGGTCTGTTTTGGAATGTATTCCTCAAACTGCCTCATATATTTCAACAACTGAAGGGCAGAAAAGAATATGGTAGGTTTATTTGAATTCTAAACTGTGTAAAATCATTGTTTTAATGGTATGCAGATTCTCAGTCTTGGCCAAATGCAGAAAATATAAATCATTCTTGGACTAAGATAGTGCTTACAACATACAATGTAAAAAATGCCAGTGATCTGTTTTTTTGCTGGTAGCCATGAGAGGCATTGTCAAATCAGAAAAATCAGGTAATTATACTAGAAAAGACTGTACCATGAACAACAAAAATGTGATACTATATAAAAATTCATGGCCTGGCTTTGCGAACGAAGATTTGGGAAGGTCTCTACCCACGTTTGTTGCAAGCACGTTGGTGGCTAAAAAGGCCAATACGAGAGAGGCATGTCCACTTGCAAAAGGCACAGCAGAAAGACTCCTTAGATGGTATATTCTGCAAGGCACGATTCTTTCTGCGTTGTCTTTTCTATAAAAATTAAAGAGCATATATTTTCAAGCAAAACCATGATTCTCTGTGTAAGATGGATGAAAGAAAGGAGACATCTGTCAATCACAATATCAAACTACAGAAAACATGGGGGTAAGTAAAACCCAAGTGCAAAAATAAAAACGCTGCCATTGCACATACAGAAGAACTAATGTCCCTGTGTGCAGCTCTGGTGAGAACTCACACAACTCTGAGCCACACTCAAGGAAGCTGCGCCGGAACAGGAAGAGGTGTGCAGAAAGTTACTGATTTTTTCTGGATGAATTGATCACTTTTCCCTAGAGAGATGTAGGTTTGGCTTACCAAGCCAATACAACAAAAGCTAAGAGATTGGATTAGTCTACACAAATATAATGGATGAAAAGAAGGAAGTAAATCAGTAAAGAAAAAAAGAATTATTGAAATCCAAACTTTTAATAAAATCCCAAAATAGTACCTGCTTTTAAGTTTATCTAATGTCTCTTCTTGCTTTAGTCTAATTACCAACTAAGTAAAAAAAGAATATATATATATAAAATCTGGAAAATATCTTTCCTCTAGTCCAACAAATCCAGAGAAACTTAGGAAGTGCAGGTCATTAAAAGAGGTTTAAAGAGGCAAAGATGAAATGCTGTGCTCTACTCCCACACCCTTTATAATCAAAATGCAGACAGCACTTATATGACTGATGCATCTGCATCACACAACAGAAATGCCATGTCATCTGGAATGCATCTGTTCTCATGATGTGACAGGATCCAATTTCATGCAAAAGACAAGATGTGTGGTTTCAGTCCAACGACAGACAGACATAGCTAGGAATATGACAGGGACAGCCTGAGAAGGCAACCCACATGGAGCAGATCAGCAGTGACTCAAGCCACTATGCTCACTGTTAATTCCCCATCACGTAGCAGAAAATGAATCTTGGGCTGTAGGAGATTTTTCTGATTGATTGCAGTCAGTTACTGCCACCAGGTTCAGAATCTTTGATTCATACACTGGCATAAGTGTATATTTAATAACCTCCAAGGACATCAAGTTTTAAATTTATAAGCATGCTTCTGACAAGCACGACAGCAAACAATTATAATAAAAATAATTGGAAAGAACTCTCACGAGTTTGTGAACATAACTGGGTCCTTACACAAAAGATTATACTTAATCATGCAATATATTTTATGATCTATACAGGAACCATTTAGACATGCGTAACTGAATTATTTAGAGCAAAAGAACCCTGGCAACTACATTATCTTATGTCAATGCTTGTATTTACTACTGAAAAATCCACTGTTCAAGAAGAGTATAAAGGTGAAAAAAAATTTAACATCAAAGACCTCTGACTTGAGAATTGTAGGTATGTAAACACAGAAGATGTTTAGAAAACAGAGAAAGGCAAGTTTTATCTATCATCACAGTTACTTCTATATAAGCAAAATTTAGTGATTTGAGACTTTTAGTGCCTGTATACCCAATCGTGCATAAAGTCCTTTCTTAAGACTTCAAGTAAATAATTCATTTGTGTGAACACAACTGCAATTCTATAGTCTATTTGCCCCATGTATATTGATTTGTTTATTCTGGGTGAGGTTAAAGCGAAGATAATTTACAGATTTCAAATAATTCTTTTGTAACAAGAAGAGACATCAAGTAAAATCCTGAAGTCAGAGCTACATTTCAACTGAATAGTTAATTAATTTATTATTCATTGTACACTTGTCATACTGTCAGCAGCACTGTTCTTGCTAAAGCTCAGTCTTTATTAACACCAGAAAAGGTCTGTAAGAAAACAGAGATGTCAGCACGATCAGTGTCCACACAGCACTAGTGCACAGCGGAGGTACAAAAGCTGGCTCAGCAACTTGGAAAAGTGGGATTGTTGCAACTCATCTCTGATTGTCTGAAACATCCCAAATTCGCAGTATATGTGCAGTGTAGTTACTACCAAATTATGCATTTGGGTGGCAAAGCACTTGGAAATGGAGGAAGGAATTCAAAGTAGATTTTAAGTTAAACACAACATGACTAAAAGCCCAAAGAATTGAATTTCATTCTCAGTAACTTATTAAAACTAATGCAAAGTAATGGATGGTATAAAATAAGCACACCTACTTGCTCCCTCACAACACAACAATAAATATTCTCTGAAACAGAACACTGAAGTAGCATTCTGATCATATGCAAGGAATATCCTCAGTCATTACTATTTTCAATGTATGAACTTAATATAGTATTTAAGTGTTCTGTATGTTTTAGTATTTTTCTGTAATCCATTTCCATACAATAAAGTCTCATTTCCTCTGTTTTAAAGCAAAGTGCATATGAGAGCACTGCAAGCCAAGCTTTGGTCCTGTGGCCAGTTCAGATCGGCCCAGATCTGTACTACTTAGTGCAAAACAAGATTTAGAGGAACTTGTCTTGGAGAAAGCACGTCCAACACTGAGCTAAGAAAAGAGCTAATGGGCACTGTAGATTATCACAGATCAATCCAGCGCTTGAGCTCATTCCATAGCCCTTTTTCTTTTATCAGTCCAGATATACTCTGTGGTTTTAAATGTCTTGACCAAAGGAGGCTACAGTGCAACAGAGAAACTTGAGTTTGATATTGTAAGCATCTCAACTATCTGGATGACCATCCTTCCCCTTAAGCAGCAAAACCCACTTCATTAAACAGTGGCACAAGGCAAATATGAAGCCTAAGACTTATTGAGAGGATTAAACATCCTGACTGACAGAGGTAAGACATTCTTTACAACTCACTACTTTTGAAACATGGGAGGTATAGGGGAGGAAAATGCAAAACAAACAAACAAAAAAATACCACCCTTAATCCAAGAGCTTTTCCTATTTGTCAACTGTTTTCTATCAGCCACTCGTTAGGAGAACTACCATGCAGATAGAACTGTTTAAGACTTATTTCTGTAGAGAAGGAGCAATTAAGAAAGTATTAGTAATTTTCAAGAATTTAAAGAACAAACTGAATTAGAATAAATGTTATGTGGAATTTAAAACAATACAAGCCAGGTACTAGCTGATAAATTTACCTTTTCATGTTTTTAGTTTATTTAAATTAAGAAGCCCTTAAATTTTTCACTAAGTGCTGGCCTACAGCTAGTTTATAAGCAGCTAGGGCTAGATGATATCACAGACCAGACAACAGAGAAAGTCAGTGATCTGATATACGACAGTAATTCTTACTCTCAAAATTACCAGATACTTCAGGAAACTCTCGTCCTCTGACATTTCAACCTACACCTCAGGCTGGTATCCCAGCACCTACATTCACCCAGCCAGCAGGTCTAACTTTCCTCTTCTCAGTACTACTGCTGTCTCAAGCTGTTTATGTCCAAGTAATTGAACTTCCTTCCCGACTCCTTGGTGTGTATCTCCATCACATGCTTTCAACGCAGAGCTTTTAGGCTACTTGGCACTTCTCTAAAAGGGAAATTGAAAAACCAGTCGGACAGACAATGCCCAGCACAGACATCGTTCAGAGCACCGACATACAAAAACACTGCCTCCCATTCCATGGCCAAAGATTTCAAGGTCATCATAGGAAATTCAGTATTACATAAGATTGCTATTTAATACTTTTTCATTATCTGTGTGCCTGCCAGTTTCTGATCATTGCCAACATTTCTACACATTCGGACAACTCAAAACTATCTAACACGAATCCTTTAAAAGAAAAAGACAAAATACAAGGAGCAGTTATACAAAGTATTCTGACAAATAACCTCTCGCGTCCATAAGGAGACACTCAATACATTATTTATCACCATGGCTACTTCAACCTGCCCTGATCACACCTCCCCCCGACCCTCCCTCCCTCCCTCCCACCTACCACCTGCCTGCCCGCCGCTCTCCCGGCCGCCCCGCTGGGCTCCCCGCGGCTGCCCTGCCCTGGCCTGCTCCGTGCCTGTCCCGTCGCCCTCCGCCCGCCCCAGCTGAACCAGCGTCTGTGTCCACGGGCCCCCGGGGGCATCCGGCCCCGCGGCCGCGCTCACCGAGCCAGGCCCCGCCGCCGAGCCGAGCCGAGTGAGCCCCGCCTGCGCCACCGCCTCCCGGGTCAGGCGGCAGCGGGCGGGGCCGCGGCTGTGGCGTCACCCAGGGCCCGGCGGAGAGCGCTGGGCCTGGTACCGAGGGGAGAACCCCTTCGTGACCGACCCGGGAGCCCCTTCCTAAGTCTGGCAGTGACATTTCATACAATTAATAAATAATACTGAATTATGCAATTTATCCTGTTTCTTCTTCTTCTTGTTTTGGTTTTTTTTGGTTTTTTTGGGTTTTTTTTCTGGGGGGGGGGGGGGGGGGGCAGGCTACACAGAAGATTAAAAATGAGAAATTGGAAGTGCAGAAATAGAAAGCAGTGCGTCTTTTACTGTATCCATAATTAAACAGTTTTTTTTAATGCTCTTGCTCTTTGGAAGAAACAGATGTCCGCATGTTGGATTTACTTCCCCATAAATTAATTTCTCTGGGAACAGGGAAGATAACGTCTCTTTTGTCTTCTGTTTTTTGTGGCTCACACCACCATCAAGCACTAATGTGTCAAACTGAAAACTAATGTATAGCCCCAGTGATAGCCAGTATTGTTTTTTCTATTGTTTTTCAGTGGCCAAGGGGCTTTGCCTTTGTGATAAATTGCATTAGTAATTTGATTGTATGTAGTCTTTTCATCTTTGCTGTAACTCTCATTAGCTGAGTGTGTGAATGTGTGTACAAAAGTTCATATACCCAAAATCTAGCTAAATAATTGATATCAGTATCCAAAAGTGGAAAAATAAGCCCTAAAAGCTGTAATTCTGAAGATTAAAAGTCTCCCTTTTCATGTCACGTTTTCAAATTTCATTTTGACTTTTACTTTAATTGTGCCAAAATGACTAGCTGCATTGTTTGGAAAGATGCCTTGTTTCCAGAGGTGGCTGTCTCAAGGTGGAACTCGTTTCCCAGCCTGGACAAGGTGGAGATGGCTATCACCCTGAGTGCTGGGCTGTGGGACAGGGGAGCTGCATTTGTGCACTGACGGTGTGAAAAAATCCCAAAGAAAAATTATCTCAGTAAATTTCCAGCACTTGCCTTAGAACATGAACACTCATGTTATCAATGAAACTTGCAACTTCTCAGTGAAACAGCTGTTAGAATTTCTGAATATAATATGGCAATATATTATTGCTTTGCAACTTTGATAATCAGTGCTAAAAATCTTCTGCAATTTGACTTCCACATAGAAAATTTCTAACCAGGTTAAATCTAGCAAGGGTGCATTCTGTGGTGCATGGCTCTTTACCTGAGCTAGCTCTTCCGGAACTCGCTGAGTCTGGGGCATGTTGAGGCCCATTAACTTGCTTTCTCAGGTGCTGTGATGTGCATGTTGACTGTGAATCAACCTTTGACACACTCAGGACCACAGAACACAGGAAATTCAAAGTAAACATTGTGTTTAGGTAGTGGCAGCCCTGTCCATCCCTGCCCTGGCAGATGGGTTTACCTCTTAGCTTCATTTAGCTCCAAAATATCTCTGGAAGTTCGTTACACATTGTAGTTTCTAGCATAATGTTTATCTAGGAATTCTCTGTTTCAAACTTTTCACATGCCCACTCTTCGCTTCTTTTCCTGCCAACAAGAAATAGAGAGCAACCTGGAGGAGAGACGAGCTGTCCACAAAATCAGGGAGAGTTCCTCTCTTCAAACATCAGTGAGGGTAATATAGTGAGGATGATGTTTGTATATGAAGCAGTATGCATACAGATGAGGGTTTGGACAGGTGGAGAGGGCCATAAACATTTGTTTAAACAGATGGTAGGATGGGCTTGGGTAGCTAGATGTCCTTGAATTACATTATGTGCATATATGCAAGTTTTGCAAGGAAATAAAAACCAGTTTTGTGATGAAAAGTGGCACTCTCTTCTGAAGCAGTGCTGCAAGTCAACAGAGGGACATTTTAATTCTTTTTTTAAGCATGCAGGGGGTATCTTTACCAACGCTGTTTCGTGGGAGCAGGCCTTGCAAGGTCCAGAAGTCGGTAAAGGGCACAGTAGTGTCACAAGCGAGAGAGGGATGAGCTGGTCAAGTGTGCACCAAAGCCACCTAGCTGTGTGCTCTGAGCTGTCAGGAGCATGCAGGCACATGGCCCTGACAACATTTCCTATCACCAGATGCTGCTCTGCCATATCAGCTGTCTGACAAAGGTAACATTGCACCTTTTTAAAATTATGCCAGCCACTGACCTCAGAGTGAACTGGCACTTCGTTAAGGTGCAAGAACTTGTCTTCAGAGTGTATGTGCAGTGTTGATAGCCTTGAGCTACAAGCAGGGGTAATGCACTTAACAACCTGGATGGCAGAAGAGTGTGAAACATCTGAAAAGGCACCTACGTCCTGAGACAATCTCATCTAGTATTCCCGCTCCCAAAGGGTGATGGAATAACCTGCCTGTTAACAGTACTGCCTTGGGAAGGAGGAGGCTCTACCAATTCAAAGACACAGATACAGGTCCAGATACCATCTCTGCATTGCATTTGACCACTTGCCAAGCTACAGACATTTTGTGCAAGGTTTTGTCCTGCCCTTCACTGTGAGCAGTCATTTGCATGTGTGCAATCCTTAAATCTGTCTATATCTGCTGTATTGTTATGTTGAATAGGAGTACCCTCAGAGTAAGCACAGAAAACTTAGACCATTTTATGGGACCCCAGATTTAACATTTCTCACCTTCAGAGGTTCTACAGGCATGGTCCTCAAGTCCAGCCCAAGGAAAACTTTTCTGGAAAGGGATCAGGGTGCTCTTGCCGGGTCTGCTAACAGCAGGGCCTGCAGCAATGGGGATAGAAATATGAGAACTAAGGAGACAGATGAGGGACCAGCTTAAATTGACTGGGAGTTCAGTTTGTTAATTCAGCAGTACATAAAGTTGACAAAAATGGTCAGAAATTAACAAAATGGTTAGAAGAGGAAATACCAGGGAAACACCTGGCTCTATAAAGACTAGTGGTAACAAAGCTCTTCTGTTGGATTGTTTATAAACACATTTCTGCCAGGACAGACGGATGTAAAGCTGGGCACCACAAAACTCAAGTTATTCATACATGTTGATTACAATATTGAGATGCTGCTTGTTCGGTTCAGAGAAAAGATAAATTCAAATGCTGATGGAGTCAGTATTTCATCATGCCCCTTTATGGCACTTTGGAATACTGGCTACTTTATTAGATAGCAGCTATGTGTTTTCCAGAATGATTTTACATACTGTCATACTGCAGAAGGCAGCAGAGGTGGTGAACTATATTTATTTCAGCACCGAAGTTGGAAGGGCACTTTGCACTTCATAAGTCTGGGAGTGAAATTTTTTACGATTAATAAGTACTGCATTTTGCAATTTATCCTGGGGGTTTTTGGTGGTTGTTTTAGGGATTTTTTTTTTTTTGGGGGGGGGGGGTGTAAGGCTACACAGAAGATTAAAAATACAAAAGTGAAAGTGCAGAATTAGAAAGCAGTGCATCTCATACTGTATCCATAATTAAACACTTTTTAAACACTCTTGATGTTTGGGAGAAACAGATGTCTGCATCATAAATTAATTTTTCTGGGAACAAGGAAGATAACTTCTTTTTTGTCTTCTGGTTTTTGTGGCTCACACCACCATCAAGCACTAATGTGTCAAACTGAAAACTAATGTATAGCCCCAGTGACATCAGGTGTTTTTTTCTATTGTTTTTCAGTGGCCAAGGGGCTTTGCCTTTGTGATAAATTGAGTTAGTAATTTGATTGCATATAGTCTTTTCATCTTTTAATAAGAAGCTGTAGCTCTCACTAGCTGTGTGTGAGTGTCCATGTGTGTACAAAAGCACATATACCCAAACTGTACCAGTCCAAAATCTTATTGGCAGAATTAAGGCCCCGTGATATACTGTATGTAAGAACAACTTTCATCAAGATTTTGCCACAGATGATGTGGGAAAACACCTCTTTTCCTAATGATTTAGATAAGGCAATATGTGACCCTGTTTTCTTGTAATCTCAGCTCTTTGCAATTTGAAACTCAGACTAATCTCCTGTTGCTTGAATTAAATGGGTCTGATGGCTGTTATTTTGTAAATAACAACATGTATTCTTGCATCTTCCTTTGATGAATCTGGTATTGAGCAGTTTTTGGACTAAAGAATTGTATTAACTTGTCCTGTGCAAGGATATATGTCATATTTTGTGTCCTGTTCAGTATGGATATATGAAATACTAGTTAAAAGACATCTGCTTATGTAGATTTCCTCTCCTTTTATGTTTGTCTGTCTCTGGATAAGTTTTACAATCTAGTTAGAGTACGACTCTGTGTGTGCTAGATGAAGTAGAATTTTTTTTTCTCAGGTGGGAAGCAGATAGCTTTCCCAATAGCTTTCCACTTAGAGACTGTGTATTTAACTAGGTGGCATGTCTGTCCTGTAATTACAATATTTTTCTCCACCTAGAAAAGAAAGTTGAAGGACTTGTATATCTCCAATTGTCTTGAAATACAAGCTCCTCAAATTGATGGGCAGGAATTCAACCAGAGTGATTCTAACTATCCACTGAGTAAACTCAAACAAGAGTCTGACTCTGCACAGCTCTGTACATAATGCTCTGGGTGAAAGTGAAAATCAGTTCTTCTAGTTCCCAAGTCTGTATGCTGAGCCCACCCATATCCCTCTCAGTATGCAAGTCCTGTGCATGTGTCTTCAGTCTCTTGGTCCTTTGGTTACCCAAAGAGGTGTTCAGTAGGATGCTTGGTGAATCAACATCTTGAACATGCAATGATATTCATCCTGAAGTGGCTCCATACAGCCACAGTACAACTCAAATAGTACAATGAGAATGCTTCCAAATGGTTTATGGATCAAACGTGATAATAAGGATATTTGTTAAACAAAGTTTTTTGTAGAAATACTGACC